TTGCGGCAACTTTTTGCCCTCTGCTCTCGATTGATAGCCGTCGCGAAGACTTGTGTGATGAACAGTGAATGGGTAGTGTTTCTTCAAGAGAGCTTTTAGTACAACAGGGAAGGCAGCATGAGGAACAGCGCAGTGTTCAAGAGTATAGTGCAAGATCAGACTGCAGTGCCGCTTGTTCCCGTGATCCTTGTTCGGCCCATCCTCCTCCGCTGGCGGAGACACGGAGCTTTGAAACTGAGTTTTTTCGAGTAACGTTGGAGAGTCCTCCTTTCTAGGTTCAGAGGAGCAGTGGAGATGCAGTCGTTGCCGTCGTCTTTAGAGTGCGTAGAGGGAAATCGTCTTGCCCCGCGGCACTGCTTCTCGGTCATGTGCCCCGCTGAGTGCTTCCTCAATCCTCTCTGCTGAGAAGGACGGCTCTATCGGCTGCTCGTGGTGTGGCTGTAAAGTCAGCGCGGTAGTTTTGAAAGAGCCGCGCCGAACAGGCGTCAAATTTTGCAGAAAACAATACACTTAACACACTACGGTCATTTTTATAGAATATTTGATAGACTAATTTAGTTTGTTATATTCATTTATCGGTAAATTTTACTTAGTTACAAAGAGGTTTAAAATGCAAGGTTGCTAATCGAGCTTTCAAGATAAATTTCATTTACTTCGTTATATCTATTATTTCGTTATATCCCGTTACGTTATAACAAGGATTGAGTGTATGCAACATCTAGTTGCAGTGCGCAACGTACGTGTTGTTTGTGCTATGTGCCTAAAAAAAAAGGTGTGAATGCAATACACTTGACTCAGTGTTTCTCTAGCACAACTGGATGTTTAGAATTCTATGTTGCCATCTGTCAAATTTCATTTAATGAAAGTGTTGCGATTTCACATGTTCAAACCACACAGAAGTTTTTCTGTGCTTTGAGGTGTTCATTTGATTACTTCTTTTATAAAATGCACATTGGTAAAAACTTTGTGTGTGCTTCAGTCTAATCTTATTTATATCAGTGCATGTCCAGAAGAACTGATTATTTAGCATCTGAAAGCACAGGAAAACTTATTCATGCCTTGAACTTCTAACAATGCAACTTCAGAGAGTAAAAAAAAAAGACTATAGAAGACTGCTTTTAAAAGACACCCTGAATAAAAGACATTCCTTCATTTCTTTCTCATGTACACAGCGTGTCCTTCGGGACTTGTTTGGGACTTGCAAAAGATAACCCTGGGTTCAGGAAAGTGTGGTCAAATCGACCTGCAAGGGATGCCGCCGCTGTTGTTCGGGAAATGCAGTGGATATCCGATATCTATTTAGGGGTGTCCTGTGGACATCCCTAGCATCTCACTGTTGTCACTAGGCATTACATGATCTCTACCTTTTCCCAATTTTCCCCGCTCCAAAGAGGGCCAAAAAGCTGTCCCTACTTTTCCTACTATTCTTCAATCAGCTAACGCATTAACTGTGAGTGTCATGTCGTTCATCGTCTTCCTTCGTATATACTATTCATCATAATGGTCATCCTCGTTTGTCACGAGGGCTGCACTGCTTTTGCCTTGTGTGACTGTGTTGAAATATAACATTTTTACTGCCGTACTGGACATCGTCTCGTAAGTGGTTGAGCTGCTGGGTAACCGACGTGAAAACGATGCATATGGTGCTGGAATATATCCACCAGATCCGGGGATGAAGACGAAGAAAGGCCAGGCCTTTCTAAAAGGTAGAAAGTAGGCTTGTGAGAATATTCAAATGAATAGTAGAGTATTCGTATTCGTTTCAATTTGAATTGAAATTAGCAATTATTTTGAAGTATTCTATATAAACGAATAGGTCTCCATTAATCCCCATGTAATTGCCTGTAAGTTCACTGCAGTATAGTTGTGCTTAGCTATGAAAGCACCATCCAAAAGAAATTTCCTCTGCTATGAAGCCCCACTTCAAATTTAAATGTGCCCTGCAACACTTTTTGAACATGGCCAGCAAACGCTGCCAATCGATAGTCGAGGCTACCGAAAATACGCGAGCTAGATATTATAGTGCAGCACGCGACCCATAATTCACAATAAGTTCTCAAAGTCTGAGAAAAATTGCTCTCTAGGCAATAGACGCCACAATGTCAAAAATTCCGTCACAGTTATCTTAGCAGCCTTTGACTAATTTGCTCAGTCGTTACTGGGGCCGCTGCGGGTGGCTGCGACATGTCCACGCGTACATGCGCAATCGTACTGAAAAGCCACATATTTAAAAAAAAAGAGAAACAAAGAGTGCTCAAGGTCACAACAAGCATGTGGCGTATTTTGTTCTCCCATGCCATCTCTTCCGGCTTTGCTTCAAGCGCTTTTGTTGGGACGAGAAGAACGAATGCAACTCCAGCATGTGGCAAATCTTTATGACTCTGCCCATACTGAACAAATTCTGGAAATTTTAGCGGCAGGTAATTTATAAGACAATAAGCTTCTTAGCTGTGTATAGGAACAAACTCTAACAACAAACTCATTGACTAAGGAATGCAGTTATGTGAGTACTTACCTTTACCATTCGAAAATGACATAAGCTACAATAATGATAAGCGACTTGGAAGTAGCATCACTTCACTGCCTTAACATGCTTCACTTGATTCAAGTGGGTAAAATATGAAGCAGGCAAGAAATCAAATACATTAGTACTTCATAAATTGATACATGCGCAGTGTTTCTGGTATCCTGCCGCGACTAAAACACACACGCACACTTCCACACACACACACACACTCACACACACACACACTATATTTATATATTGGGCGCACGTTGAAGAACCCCAGGTAGTCAAAATTTCCGGAGCCCTCCATTACGGCGTCTCTCATCATCATATGGTGGTTTTGAGACGTTAAACACCACACATCATCATCATGACTATATATATATATATATATATATATATATATATATATATATATATATATATATATATATATATATATATAATATAAACGTAGCGAAGAAGAAAGCGCACTGGCCACTGGCTCCGTAGTAAAAACGGAAGCGAGAAAGCACGACGTACAAGCCCTCCACTACGGCGTCTCTCATAATCATATGGTGGTTTTGGGACGTTAAACTCCACATATCAATCAATGAATCAATCAATCATTAGTTTGTGAGTTTGTTCGTTTGTTTGTTTGCTAGTTTGCTAGTTTGCTCGTTTGCTCGTTTGCTCGTTTTCTCGTTTGTTCGTTTGCTCGTTTGTTAGTTTGTTCGTTTGCTCGTTTGTTAGTTTGTTAGTTTGTTAGTTTGTTAGTTTGTTCGTTTGTTCTTTTGTTAGTTTGTTAGTTTGTTAGTTTGTTAGTTTGTTCGTTTGTTCGTTTGTTAGTTTGTTCGTTTGTTCGCTTGTTCGCTTGTTAGCTTGTTAGCTTGTTCGCTTGTTCGCTTGTTAGTTTGTTAGTTTGTTAGTTTGTTAGTTTGTACGTTAAAGAACCCCAGGTGGTCTAAATTTCCGGAGCCCTCCACTATGGCGTCTCTCATAATCATATGGTGGTTTTGGGACGTTAAACCCCACATATCAATCAATCAATCAATCATTAGTTTGTGAGTTTGTTCGTTTGTTCGTTTGTTCGTTTGTTCGTTTGCTAGTTTGCTAGTTTGCTCGTTTGCTCGTTTGTTCATTTGTTCGTTTGTTCGTTTGTTCGTTTGTTTGTTTGTTCGTTTGTTCGTTTGTTCGTTTGTTCATTTGTCCGTTTGTCCATTTCTCCGTTTCTTCGTTTCTTCGTGTGTTCGTGTGTTCGTGTGTTCGTTTGTTCGTTTGTTCGTTTGTTAGTTTGTTAGTTTGTACGTTAAAGAACCCCAGGTGGTCTAAATTTCCGGAGCCCTCCACTATGGCGTCTCTCATAATCATACGGTGGTTTTGGGACGTTGAACCTCACATATCAATCAATCAATCAATCATTAGTTTGTGAGTTTGTTAGTTCGTTAGTTCGTTAGTTCGTTAGTTTGTAGTTGTTTGTTTGTTTGTTAGTTTGTTCGTTTGTTAGTTTGATAGTTTGATAGTTTGTTAGTTTGTTAGTTTTTTCGTTTGTTCATTTGTTCGTTTGTTAGTTTGTTAGTTTGTTAGTTTGTTCATTTGTTAGTTTGTTCGTTTGTTCATCTGTTAGTTTGTTAGTTTGTTGGTTATTTTAGTTGTGTCATTGGTTTCGTTTGGTTCGGTTGTTTGTTCAGTTTGTTGGTATAGTTTGTTCGTTTGATAGTTTGAAAGGTGTTAGTTTGGTAAGTTTTTTCGTTTGTTAGTTTTTCCGTTTGTATTAGTTTGGTCGTTTGTTTCATTTGTTAGTTTGTTCGTTTATCATCTGTTTAGTTTGTTAGTTCCTTGCGACACTTGACTCTTCGTAGCCACATTGTGCCGCATAAGGTCTTCCACTTTTCAGTAATGGGAGAGACTGGTCCATCAATGATTCGGTAATTGCAGAGACTGGTTGATGAATGACCAGGTATCTGCTCCAGGTATCTGCTCCAGGTATTTGCTGATGAATGCAGGTATCTGCTCGGCTATGCATGTTTAAACCGCAGGGTGTGATGGCAGTACAAGTGCACCATGTTGTAGTTCGAAAAGTTCACCGCCACCGCATTGTGAGAGGCTGCATGGCAGCAGCGGGGGCAGCGAAAGCTTGTTCCTCACACGCCTGTGTTCGATTATTTCAGTTGACAACCCAACGACTGATCATTATCGGCACAATGTCACATGCTGTGCTGCCACTCATCGCTGACTGCGTCACACGTTTCGGGAGGCAAGCCCTGACGAAGCAAAAAAGCTACCGCTGTGGAGCAACACCAGGGGAACCGTCTTTAAAACCAATGACAGCAGAGGCCTGCACTTCACTTGCCAGCAGCGGGGTCAGCGAAAGCTTGTTCCTCACACGCCTGTGTTCGATTATTTCAGGTTTGCATTCATTTTTTTACATACTAAACAAAGATTATTCTTTTTTTTGCTGCCTTTCTGCTGCCAAGGTGGTGATACATTTCTTGTGTGAAGTATTGCTGTAGTCATGAGTGATTTGACTAAGTTGCGAGAAGAAATAAGAAAGCAGATGATTGAATTCAAATCGTCAATTGAAAGAGAGCTAAGAAAGGAAATAAGAGACCTGAAAAACAGTGTGAGCTTTCTGAACGACGAAGTTGAGAAAATAAAGAAAGAGAATGCGGATCTTGTGGGGGATAACAAGTCACTCAGAAGCGCTAATGAGCAGTTGAGAACCGAGTGCGAAGCTTTCAAGAAACAAATTTCTCAACAAAAGCAGAGGATAACTGCATCTGAGCAATACTCCCGCAAATGCAACCTTGAGATTAAGGGAATACCCAAACTTGCTGAGCAAGATCTTGGAAATACCCTTCACAGGATCGGCGGACTGCTGAATGTGCCTGTAACCAATGATGATGTTGAAAAATGTCACCGTGTACCAGCAAAGAATGCCAGTTCATCACCGAACATTATAGTCCAATTCCGCAGCCGTTCAAAACGTGATTTGGCGCTACAGAAAGCAAAGAAGACGCACATCTCGACACAGGACCTCGGTCACGCCTCTAACACACCTGTGTTCATCAATGAACACTTATGCCCAGCCCTAAAGCAGCTTCTTGGAGCGGCAATAGCTAAAAAGAAAGCAGCAAACTGGAGGTTCGTGTGGACGAATGATGGGCGTATTCTCGCGCGAAAGGATGAAGGCTCACATGTACTGCACATACGCGACGCAAGCGACATTGAAAAGATTGCCTAAAAACGCTATCCGGAATTGCGGTGCAGCTTCTGTTTCGCCATGGCGGTATCACCTTGTGACGTCAATAATCTTGTAGGAAATCGGTGTAGCGATAGTCTGTGCTGCCTTCATCTAAACATTCGTTCAGCACGGAACAAGGAAGATGATCTATCTATTTTTCTAGATATGTTTTCTTTTTCTTTCGACGTAATTATGATTACGGAAACTTGGTATATTTCAGACGACGAGATTTACAAGCGAGATGATTATAATACTTTCTTTCTTAACCGAACAAAGAAAAAAAGCGGCGGCCTCATGGCTCTAGTGAAAAACTGTATAGACGCTCAAATAATACCACAATTTTCTTATGTCAGTGCTGACATTGAGTGCTTAACTTTGATTACACGTAATTACGTATATGCTGTCATGTACAGACCACCCGATTCATCTGTGAACACATTCATTAGTAGCCTTGAAGAATTATTAAATTATGTAAATGACAACAATTTAAAACTTATTCTTGGCGGTGACCTTAATATCAACACACTGGAGTCGTCTGCTGTCGCAATTACATTTGTGTCTTGGGTCGAGTCGAGTGGCTACGATATAGTAACGGAAACTCCCACAGGTATCACACCTACCTCAGAAACGTTAATCAATCTATTTATTACTAACGTAAACAAAGATAATGTAGAGAATGGTGTAATATGTTGTGACATCAGCGACCACTTTGCACTCTACTTTGTTACGAAGAGTGCAATCAAGAAGTCCCAAACACTGCCCGCTAGAACAGTTCAAAATATCACACCTCACACTTTAACAGCATTCAGCACAAGCCTTTCCCAAACAGACTGGAGTGCGGTATACCACTCAGAAACTGCAGATTTAGCCTATGAAACATTCTTGATTATATTTAAAAACGTCTATTTTAGACACTTTAAGGGGAGATGCGGGTCGAAAAACCGAGATTTGTTTAGAAAAAGTCGAATTTGTGTTTTCTTGCGTTTTGTATTTCTCCAAGCCTTCTCCTTAATATAATAAAAAATCAAAGCTGAGAATCAGCTAGAAGTTATCGAAAAATACAATTAAAGAACTCGCGGTGGCTCGTGAAAGTGCGAAGTTACCCGATTTTCACGCACGCGGCACTTTGCTCTACGGCATCGCCGGCTCTTGAAATTTCGTGGGCATGTAGGCCTATAACCCTCTTCTCCCAGAGCCCGCTTCGGCAAAGCGGCATTCACGCTAAATATACAACAAAGAAATCGTTTTCCCACAGCATTCTAGTGTGGCGACTGGGCCTTTGAAGTCACATGGTATGATCGGAGCCCTGCTATTGGTTGCGAGCATTCCGCCGCACAGCCGGATGCGAGCGCTTTCTTCGTTCTCCTGCTTTCGCCGAGACATAGACGAACACAACCGCCGGAGTTATTATTTCCGCGCCATGGATGCCGGCGAGAAATGCTACTTTCGTTCACGGAAGTTCGTTACGTGGCACCAGTACGAGGAAAGGCACCCTAAACGCAAACAGTGAGCGCCGGCGAAAGCTCCGTCAGTCTGCTGCTAGGCCTAGCCGCGGCAGCAGCGACGCACCCGATTTGGATTGTTCGAGCTTTATTCCTACCGTCGATGACTTCATCAGCGCTTCAGAGTGAAAGATAAAGATGTTCGACGACGAAAGCAAGTGTCAGACGAACGGGGAAGCACATTTATTTGTGAGACCGATGCGATGCAGAACCTCGTCAGTGGCGTAGTATGCTCCAACTGTGGGCGGTGCGAACTGTCTATTTGAGTAATGGCAAGTAGACGATAAGGACTGGCACCGCTTTCGGAACTTTAGCGCCGAAATGATGCATGTGCTGCAACTGTTGTTTCGTCCACGTATGCGTCAAGCCCCGTGTATCAGTCATGCAGTGGAAGCGAGGAGACGTCCGCCAGCAGCAGTGCACGGGACAGCTTCGCTGTGAGCGTGAAGTCGGTGGTCGCACCGCGTGCGATCGGCATCGGACACGAGCAGCTTGTGCAGGTTTTGTGCAATCATTGGTGTTAAAAAACCGGTGCGTCACAAGAACTGCCATTAGCAAAAAAAAAAAAGTGCATACCGCCGCCGAAACCTCGAATGAGCCCAAGAGCAACAGCCCGTCGCCGCAGTAACGAAAAAAAGAAATGCTCGCCGGGAGGACACAGCTTGCAGAGGCTGTAAGGGTCCAATATATAGTGCTGGGTTATTCTGAAACTGTCAACTTTTTCAAGATACCTTTGCTGACATTCTCTGTGAATTTCATTCAGATTGGTTGAAGAGTATAGTATTAAACATGTTTTTGAACTTTCACACCGCTTTTTCTCAGTTCCTTATTTTTTGGCGTTTTTAGAGTTTGTGCACTATAATTTGTGTGCTTTACGTAGTCAGATTGCAGTGAAACTTGGCGTACTTAAAGTTTAACATGTCCTGAATTCAAATAAACAACTTTCAAAGGTCTCCAAAGCATATTCAGCTGGATTATTTCAGAAGCTTGTTCCTTGAGTATGGTAAAACTCAAATTCAGCATTAGAATTTTTTTCTAGGCCAGCACACAAGTGTTACACAATGTTTCTTTGCTTTATTGAATTCTGCAATTTATTAAGAGTGTTACGAACGGCCCTAGGGAACCAAGCAAGAGGAGTTTGGGGGAGAACCGGTTCTTGACCGACTGTGTCGTCCACCCCCACCTCCCCATTCAGGCTCCTCTTCTCGCCGGGAGAACTCCGGAATCTGCTGTGCGTTCGTGACCATGTTTGGGCATTTTTTAGGGCGCCTTGACCATATATGGACATCGTGTTAGGTTGTGCCACTTCATGTGTTGTGAGAGGTGTTTCCCCCTCCCTCGTGGCCGAGGTGCCGGGGACACCGTATTGGCTGACGATGCGGACAGTGCGCCCAGTCTCGGCAACGCGGTGCTATAAAATGCCGCAGACGTTTTGTATCTCTCTCTCTTCTCTCTTTGGATCAGTTGATCACTTCTCCACATGTAAATAAATCTCTGTCGTTTGTTCGGGCGCTTCTATCTCGCTGAATTGTTGGACGATGGATCCTGCGACGGGGCCAGCTACCGAAAACGAGACCGGCAGGACCCGGAGTCCCAACAACTGGATGGCAGCGGCGGGATGCCGATAACCCCGAAAGCGACCACTGGACGGAGTGAGCCCAAAGTCCAACAACGGGACGACAGGAGAAGGATGACACGAGCTCATCGACTTCCAGAGGGAACCGAACGGCACTTCTGAGAGGCACGACGCCGGAGACATGACTGCGAACTGGGTGAGTGCCGGCTTTCTCTGTTAAATTTTACCAGGCATTTATGCTATTTGTTAAGTAAAAGCTGGTAGAGAGGGGCTGTCTTGGTCATTGGGTTAACAGGTAACTTGCGTCAGGCAGAAATTGTGTGATAGCTTGGTTAAGCTCTTTCTGTCAGTGGCGTCAAGGTTAACAGTGACAGGGCAGGATTCCGTGTAAGAGCTTTTGAAGCTTTATTTGTAGACTAAGTTAACGGAAAACTTGAGGCAAGGCAGGTATCTAGAGCTGTCGTTGCCATCAAGGTTAATTAGTTGCAGGACAGGAATCTTTGTGGAACAGAGACAGCGGTACTGGAAGCAGCCATGAATCTGAAATCCCTGCGAAAGTCCATGTTGTTGCTACTTGCAAGGGAGTTGAATCTGGAGGTGTCGGACTCTCAAAGAAAGCCAGAGCTGATAGAGGCAATTCTCGCATTGGGGGCGGAGGATGACGAGCTGTCAGAATGTGTCGAGGAGATTCAGGAGAGGCAAGCGGCAGAGGCCGAAAGAAAGGCGGCCGCGGCCGAGGCCGAAAGAAAAGCGGCCGCGGCCGAGGCCGAAGGAAAGGTGGCGGAGGCCGAAAGGAAAGCGGCAGAAGCCGACGCAGATAAGATGCGAAAGCACGAGCTTGAAATGAAGCGCCTCGAGCTAGAGATTAGCCATAATAGTAGAGCAAGAGGCAGCGAGGCATCCGGTACCGCAGAGCGGGTCAGGTTCAAAATGACGGACCTAATGAGATCGTACAAGCTAGCGGAGGACATTGGGCTGTTCCTCGTCAACTTTGAGAGAACTTGTGAAAGGCAAGGTTTCAGCCAGGATACATGGCCTCAACGCTTGTTGTCCCTACTTCCGGGGGAGGCCTCAGAAGTAATCGCGCGCCTCACGAAACAGGAGGCTGACGAGTACAGTGAGGTAAAGTCGAGCCTTCTCAAGAAATACAGGTTGTCAGCGGAAGGTTTCAGACAAAAATTTCGCAATGCCATAAAAGAGAACAATGATTCATACCCGGAGTTTGCTTACAAGTTAATGGCCAACATGGGGGAGTGGCTCAAAGAGGCAAAGGCGTATGGGAATCATGACAAGGTGCTCGAGTGTATCGGTCTGGAACAATTCTATCAAAGGTTACCAGAAAAGGTGAGGTTCTGGGTGCAGGATAGACCGGACGTGAACACCGTAACGAAAGCCGCAGAGCTCGCTGAAGAATTCGTTACGCGCCGCGCCCTCAGGGCAAACAGCGAGCCTAAAAGGGAAAAATTCCTACTACGGAATAAGGCGCCGTTTAGAAAACAACCGACAAGTCTCGCACAAAAGGGTGAGGAAAACAAGGCATCTAACCATGGGGCGTCGGCAGAGGAAAGCAAAAGGAAATTGGAGGCGAAAAAACCGGCGGCTTGTTTCAATTGCCACGAAACAGGGCATTTCGCGAAACATTGCCCGAAAGAAAAGGTGGCCTTTTTATCTATAAATGAAGCCGACGAGAACATGAAGTTGTTAGAGCCCTATATGTACGACTTTACCGTGAACGGCAAGCAGTGTCGGGTTCTTAGAGACTCCGCAGCCACTATGGACGTAGTTCATCCGTCCTTTGTTCAGTCTGGACAGTATTCAGGAGACTGTGCCTGGATTAGACAAGCCGTGGAAGCAAACAGTCAGTGCCTTCCCGTAGCTAAAGTTGTCCTTAAAGGCGCATTTGGTACGTTGGAAACGGAAGC